AATTTCTGATTATGCAAAGTACAAAGTAACTTTAAGAACCATTTGAATCATTAAACTGGAAAGATATTTTACGAAGAAAAGATGTTTAGTCATTCGAATTATGAAAAACATCTTGTTTGTTTACATATTTAATGTAATTGGAATGTCGAGGAGCAATCTGCCTTTTGTAGTTTTGTAAAAACGGTGTACTTTTAAACCTTGATTTTTCTCACATACAGATCATAATGTTGAGCCATTTTGACAGACAGTTTTATTTTGTTTTGTAAATTTGTCCGTATAATTCATTACATTAGATAAGTAATTGACCTTGCATATGTCTTCTCGATCACATTTCATTCACGATCCTATACCAGAGCTCATGATCCAATCGCAATACTTGACCACCGTTAGGTATTCTTTCACGATCATTTTTTCTCGAAATAAGTATAACTACTCAAACAAAATAGTGTACCAACAGTTCATAAAGATCACTGAAATTTACTGTTTAAAAGACTTCATATACAATACAGGTTTGCACTGTTGTTAATAATTTCAATATTCTGTTTTTATTTAAAATGTGTGTACCATAAACCATTTATTCATATAAATCTTCTTTCTTGTTTTCTTTTTCATCTTATAGTGGACTGACAAATCAAGAAAAAGGTGTTTAGTTTACGACTTTAATGGACCAGCATGACTGCAGGCTAAAAACGATTTTTTTTGCACAGCCAATACCTTAATCTAACTTTTATGCCCGGTCGAAGCCTTTTTCTGCGGTGCATTTTTTTTTATAAAATGGAAAGAAAATGGACATTTGGATTTTTTTTTCAAATTTCAACATTAGAAACAATTTGGTCTTTTGGCATATGATTTTGCATTTAATAAAGTGTTTAAGTGTTTATTCATATTGTAAAACTTGAATTCCTCATAATTATCCTTAATTTTGTCCATTTTTACTCAGTTTGACGAATGCGCACTCTGTATTATTTTAACGAAGTGGTTACAATATTTGTAAATTTAAATTGCATCGATAATTTCATGATTTTCCGATTTAAAATGTTATAAAACTTCCTTTTGTAAAGTTTTAAAGCCACTCAAACTCAGTATTTTTAATAAATTAACTTTTATGAGGATTTTTAACTTTGCATTATAGTTCAATGAATTTCCGGATTTAAATTCCTATCCGATACGAAGTAAAATTGCTTTTTTGTTGACAAATCGCTTCAATAGTTCATCATAGTATTGTTCGTAGTTTAATTATTGTTTTATTGATACTTTTGCATCAGAAGTTTATTGTACATTGTTTATACAAGTTTATGACTTATTAATTTTGCGTTAAATAGTTATTTTACCGTGTTTTTTTTACTTTAGTTAAAAATCTTTACTAACTAAAAAATCAAGTTGGACCGGATAGGGTTTATTCCCGGAATATGTCGACTTTTAGTAGTCCACTGAAGCTTACTCATTCGCGAGCAAAAATTAGCCGTTGTTCAAACAACTGGAGTTTTTGCATTATATGTGAGATTTCAAGAAGTGGAAAACTGTCCTCTCTAACTGCAAAAGGAAAGCAAACCCTTATCAATGCTGTAAATACAAGGAAAGATAATGTGTACCGCAGACTCCATGATGAGTATAGTTCAATTGATAATGTTGATAATATAGAAAAGTGAAATTATCATAAATCCTGTTACAAATCTTACACTAGCAGGGTAAATTTAGAAAAGTTTCGACAATCTGATATTCTAGGTGCTCATACGGAAACTTTCCATGAAGATGATCAGCCATGCTGTTCCCAGTCGATTCAGACAAGATCAATGTCAATATATTTCAACAGACAGTCGGTATTCCAATGGGAACTTATTGTGCACCCCTACTGGCCGATTTGTTTTTGTACTCCTATGAGGCAGAATTCATTCAGAACCTTCTAAAAGACAAAAAGAAAAAAGCACCTTGCGAAATTCTTTAATTTTACTTTCTGATATATTGATGATATTCTATCATTGAATAACCCATATTTTTGCCAATACTTACATCTCATATATCCCAGTGAACTTGAAATTAAGGATACTACTTATACTAAAAGGACTGCTTCATACCTTGAACTTTTCCTCAATATTGACACAGATGGACGACTTCACACGAAAATCTATGATAAACGGACGATTTAAACTTCCCAATTATCAATTTCCCATTTTTCAGCAGTAACATACCATCTGCCCCTTCGTATGGTGTTTACATATCTCAATTGATAGTTATTCTCGTGCTTGTTCACACTATACGGACTTCATATACAAGAGTGTGCTCCTTACGCAGAAACGGCTCCAACAAAGTTATGAGGAGGACAGATTAAAAATGACACTCCGTAAATTTTACGGACACCATCACGAATTGGTTAGTCCATACGATGTGTCTTTGTCAAAACTAACTAAGGACATTTTTACCACGTGTTAGATTGTGGTTTGTCATTACGTCTTCTGATCTTTTAATTACCGAACGTGACTTATTCCCGATTGTGACCGTTTTGCTGAGTATGAAACCGCATTGCTATAAGACGTGTCACGGTACTGTTCTATCCCAAATTCATGTATTTAATTTTGATGTTATATTTGTTATTCTCGTCGGATTTTGTCAAATGTCTTAACGTCTTTTCTGTTATATTCGTGTGTTATGGTAAAGATAATTAATCACCCCCTTCATTTATTAGATTTTAGTTTGGTTCAACGAAATTTATACGATATATTTGGTTTACTGTTTGATTCAGAAGAAACACCGACATAGCTAGATAATACAACTAATTATCTAATTACTACCACAATTTGATATTAATAAGTATTGTAATTTTCATTGTTATTAATAAATGTAATGTCAGTATTACAAATCTAATCTTGAATCAATCCTAATCCTATCTTATTTTTGGGAAATATTTTTACAAATTCAAATGTGACGTCACTTTGTGTGTTTTTTTAGAATTTCAAATGTGACGTCACTTTGTTCGTTGAGGCTTTGGCTAACTCGGCTGTGTATTTTTATGTGTTGGATTAAGTTGTTTTATGTAATGTATCCGTTTTTATTCTGTAGTTAGTCCCCACTTCGGTTTTATCATGTATATCTATTATATAGTCATTTTATAAAATTTACTGTTTGCAAAATTATGAATTATTCTAAACAATAAGGATGCTCTTGTCCCAGGCAGAAAAAACCCTGGCCGTTTTTGGAAGTTTTGGTCCTCGGTGCTCTTCAGCTTTGTACTTGTTTTGGCTTTGAAACTTTTTTCATCTGAGCGTCACTGGTTGGTCTTGTGTGGACGAGACGCACGTCTGGCGTATTGAATTTTAAGCCTAGTACCTTTTGTTAGCTATTATTCGTGTGTTTCTTTGTCCTATATGTTCTCCCATTTATTTGTATTGTGGTCCTGTCATGTGATGTTGTCGTTTTGGTGTTATGTTTGACGTTGCCATAAAAGCGGGAGGTTTGGCATGCCACAAAACCAGGTTCAACCCACCATTTTTTTCTTAAAATGTCCTGTACCAAGTCAGGAAAATTGCCATTGTTATATTATAGTTCGTTTCTGTGTGTGTTACATTTTTATGTTGTGTTTTTGTTGTGTCGTTGTTCTCCTCTTATATTTGATGCGTTTCCCTCAGTTTTAGTTTGTAACCCAGATTTGTTTTTATCTCTATCGATTTATGAGTTTCAAACAGCGGTATACTACTGTTGCCTTTATCTACGCCCTTTGACTGGACTGCTTGCATTTTTTGCAAGCACAAATCATACAAGCGTGACATACAGTTACGACACATAGTAACTGACGAAAGACTTCAAACCATTATAGAATTAGCTGACAAAAAAAGATTTAGAATTAAAACACAGATTTCACTATTCAGCCCCATTCTACTATTTAGTCAGACGTCAGGCGCTACCCTGATATACCATGTCTTTTGATTTTTGTCTTCAGGTTTTGTTGTTAACGTATTTTGTCGGGTAATTAATGACGGATAGCGTTTTACGTCTTTAACCGGACAGTTTTAACTATTTAACTTTATTCTATTCCTGTCTGATGGTTCATATTTTGGACGCCATCCTTTGCACCTTTCAATTAGAAATACGGATAACAAATAATGAAACTTCGAAATGGAAAAATATTAATAACTAAACTAGGTCAAAGGGTATTTACACTTCAGAATCCCTTATCTAAGAAATACTACAATCGCTAACATTTTTAATAAAAAAAATCGTTGTTACCCTTCTATCTATAAGTGTCCAGCTCAAGTGAAAAGTTCCTTCGAGCGGGCTGCCATTTTAGAAAATCGGCGACCTTTACGACGAACTCAAAAACGGCGACGTTATAATACGGTTACGACACTTTAGCGGCGCCGATAGCAATGCGTATAAACAATAGTGTGATTTCCCTTTAACCCGACTTCCAGATGTAAATTGTGGGGACATTAACGTGTCAAGGACGCAACTGTTTCCTAAATGGCCAAATTTTTATTCATCCTTTGGACAAATCAGAGATCCTAAACAATCATCTTGCTAATATAGCTAATATTGATACGGAACCAGAAATTCCTGATAATAATGAGCCTCCTCCATGTCATTTAAACAAATTTGTCATCACTGAGAAAAACATTCTGGACCAGTTAAAAATCTTGAATGTTAACAAACCAGCTAGACCTGACGGTATCAGTACTAGAATTTTAAAAGAGGTTGTTAGCTTTATTTCTAAACCATTAACTAAGTTATTTGATATGTCTCTATCAGTTAAACAGGTTCCACTGTTATGGAAAATTGCACATGTTAATCCTATTTTTAAAGGGAAAGGTAGTCCACATTCAGCTCTAAACTATCGTCCAATATCTGTTACTAGTATTGTTTGTAAGATTATGGAAAAAGTTCTATTTAAACATTTGTATAATTATATGAGGAGTAATAACCTTTTGTCAAAGTTTCAATCTGGATTCCAGCCAGGTGACTCTACTGTTAATCAGTTAATTGAAATATATCATAAAATTATTAGTAATATGGATAGTGGGAGGGATGTAAGGTTTGTATTTTTTTATGTATCTAGAGCTTTGATAAAGTTTGGCATAAAGGACTTTTATTTAAACTTAACCAATCTGGCTTAAATGATCAGCTCTTATCTTGGATAGAAAGTTATCTTTCAGATCGTCAACAAAAGGTAGTTTCAGAAGGCTTTTCGTCAACTCTAAGAAGTATACATGCAGGTGTCCCTCAAGGATCAGTTTTGGGACCCTTTCTGTTTCTAATTATATAAATGATATAGTAAATGACATTGCTAATGATACTAGATTTTTTGCAGATGACACCTCTTTATTTGTTATAGTAGATGATGATCATGCTGTAGCAGCTGCGTCTGTGACTGATGACTTGGATGTTTTCTCAAATTGGGCAAAAGCATGGGCTTTTCAATTCAACACTAAGAAAACTAAAAATATTGTATTTACTAGAAGAGAAAAGAAACATCCACCTGTATTTTTGGGATAAATGGCGAAGAGGTTGAGAAAATAAATATTCACTGTCATCTTGGGATAACATTTCAGTCATCAGCTTCATTGAACACACATATTGATATTATTTATTAAAAAAGCATCTATCTGTGCTTCGTCATGTTAAACATTTACTAGATAGTTCACTTATACGTATTTATTATGCTTTTATTAGACCTATATTAGAGTATGGTGATGTTGTTTGGGGCAATTGCTCCCAGCACGAGTCTGAGCTTCTAAAAAATATCCAAATAGAAGCTGCTAGAATTATTACAGGATTACGACGTAATTCCTCAAGACAAAAACTGTATATTGAATTAGGTTTAGAAACTCTGGAGAATAGACGTAATAAACATAAACTTATACTATTCTATAAAATATTAGATGGGATGACACCTGCATACTTATATGAGTTAGTCCAGCCATATCTTCCCAGACAAACCCCTTAAACTTTGAGGAATGAAAATAACACTTTTCACCCGTCTCTTGCTAGAACTAGCTTTTATTTTAATAGTTTCATTCCTTCCACTTTAAGACTTTGGAATAGTCTTCCTTTGAGTTTACAAAAATCCGCAAGTTTAGGTATATTTAGAAGTGGGCTGGATAAGTTTTATAGGACTGATGATATATTTACACCTTTCAACTATAGGATAAGGATAAAATTGAGAATGGAAATGTGGAATGTGTCAAAGAGACAACAACCCGACCATAGAACAGACAACAGCAGAAGGTCACCAACAGGTCTTCAATGCAGCGAGAAATTCCCGCACCCGGAGGCGTCCTTCAGCTGGCCCCTAAACAAATAAATATACTAGTTACTAGAAACTTAATATAAGTCATTGTCAACTCAGAAATAATGCTAGCAACCTAAAATCTCATTTGTTTAATCAGTTCTTATCCGAGAACACTTTTTGTGCAAACTGTTATCACCCTATTGAGGATAACCAACATTTCTTTTTTATTTGCCCTAAGTACAATGATGTAAGACAGATCCTACTTGATTCCATTTTCTCCATTGCTGATAAGGTTGACATAAATATTGAATTATTATTTTTTGGAAACAGATTATTTTCATATGATATGAAAAATTGCTATTTTTAAATCTGTTCAGAAATATATCAGTGACGCTCAACGTTTTGTTTGAAATTTACTCAACTTTTGTTTCATTTAGTTTTATTTTTTATAGAAAATGTAAAATATAAATGTTCCATTCGACATGAAAAGTGGGATTATCAACTGCAATACAAAGTCGATATACTGAACGATAAACAACTGTCATACAAGTAGGAGGTTTAGCTATCTTTTAAACCAGGTTTCACCAGCCATGTTCTTCAAAAAAATCCTGTACTTAGTCAGAAATGTGACAGTTGTGGCAGTTCGTTCCGTTGATCTGACGTTTGATTTGGTCAGTTTTTTATGAACTTCCCCTTTTTCGAATTTTACTTTGAGTTCGGTATTTTTGTTGATACTTATAATCATCTCTCTGCAGCTATTCCTGAAATCTTAATAGTGCATTTCTCATTTTTTGTACAATGCAGTTCTTCAAAAATTGCAGTAATAAAATATATTTTTACTGAACCTCTACAATGACATTCACTGCAAGAACGATTCCCAATAGAATCTCTGGAAGCATAAGGATTATGTTGCTGACATCGTGTTATCATTTCCAGAAAACTGAGATGGAATCAAAAAAGTACCATAGAACAGAACCATAAACTCCCTGGTTATAAAAGTAAACATAACTGTTCATTAAATATTTCAATTCAGGCGGGGTATTTGCAAAACAATATCATAATAGTGAGAAGCTAAACATCCGACAACCGCTTAACGGAGTAAAATTCTTTTCAAAACTGCAATTTTTCGCAAAAAAACTCTTGGATACGGTGTTTATGTTTAATCACACCGAATAAATTAAATGGACAAGCGTCTTAGTAAATGTTAAAAGGTCATACAGGGGCAGAGTTATTAAATTATACGCAGATATACATTTGTATGCATATACATGTGACGGTGAATTATGACTAATAAATTGTTGATTGATTAACGTCCAAATACAATTACTTCGGGTGGATCAAATGAACCAAGTTCATCCAATAAGAGAAAATATATGAACAATAAACTCTCTGTTAACCAATTAAAATCCAGGATTCTTGTTAAGATGTAATTATAAATATGATTTATTTCCCAGTATTATTTCACGAGGTAGTCTCGTGTGCATTTAAGTTATATCCTTTCTTTTTCAGCAAATACATAAGTCTTTATAATTTTCAGCAAAAGAATAACTAACCAGGCAATATGACACACGTTTTATTTATAAAGGTATTACTGATGCTTTCCTTATTGAGTTTTGACTGTAACAGGAACGACGTTGAACCAGCAAAAATGGAAACTATTTCCCCCTGTACACAGTTTTATCAACATAAAGAACTACACGTTAACTGTTCTTATAAAAATTTTGGAGCTGTCCCAGATACACGGTTTACCTCTATCTACAACATAATCTAATCGGACAAGTACCCAATAAAACCTTTGACCATTTGAAGAAGCTTGTTTTGTTAGATCTATCTTTCAATACAATCACTACCTTTAATGAAGATTCATTCGAAGGCCTTCAGAATCTGTTGGTTCTTAATCTCAGTAGTAATTCACATTATCCTATTATTAAGAGTTTAAGTTTGCCAAAAAATGTATTTAAACATTTAGTCAATCTTACCGTTTTTGATCTCTCCTTCATTAACATCATCTTTCTTCATGAATATACATTTAATGGACTTGTGAACCTACAGCAACTTAAATTCAACAATAACTGGTTACGGATAATACCAAATGATACATTTCAACATACACCAAAGCTCATTACTCTTGATTTATCGTATAATAAATTGAATTCAGTAACTAAAGGAATGTTCACTGGACTTGGAAACCTGCATCATCTTAATCTCAGTCATTCCTATGGAAATATTGAAAACGATGCATTTCAATCGTTAAAGAATCTAACATTACTGGATTTATCATATACGTTTTTATATTCAGTCAATAAGCAATTATTTGTTGGACTTCCAATGTTGCGTCATCTGTACGTAAACTGCAATGTTATAAAACAATTATCAAATCATTTGAACATTTAAAAGATCTTTGTCTACTTGATCTATCATAAAACCTACTACAGTCACTTAATGAAAAGACATTTATAGGACTTAAAAACCTAAAAGTACTCAGACTCAACTTTAATAGTCTGAAGTATAATACGGAACGCTTACCTCCAGGATGTTTTCAACCTATAGAATCACTCAAACAACTTTCTATTCAAATGAATAATCCATTCAATACAAATGATACTTTCATTTTTCTAGATGAGACAATCAAAGATTTGAAAAGTTTAGAAAAACTTGAGTTAGATGTTTATGCTGATAACGAAAGAGTTTTAGGGGAAGGATTTACAAGCTTACATAATCTTTCTTCCCTTACTTTCAGTGGTGTCTGTAAATTTTCTTTACATAATGACACATTTATATATACGCCATATTTGACACGTTTTAGCAGTATAGATTGTAATATTATAATTATAGACCGTGATGCGTTTTCGTTTCTAACCAAGCTGAAACTAGACTTCGTTTGCGTCTATAATGGTACACTTCATAAAGCGATTGACATCATTTTCGAAGACACCAATTGAAATCTTAAAAATGAACAATGTGTGTTTAGGTTATTCAGTTGCTTCGTGGGAAAATGTGAATAAACGATAACTTGATATGTCAATACGTGAACTTTATATAACAAACAATGACAAATGTTTTAACAAGAGGATTTCATTTTTCACAGAAAAATATATGCCAGCGCCAGTCAGTTTGCAACTTCTTGATTTAAGTAACAATAGAATAGATAACATCAGTCTCAAGTTGACCTTTGTCATATCCATGAACTTTTCAGGTTATCACCTGGGTCCGTTTCTAGAGGAACATAGCTACGCGATGAAGGAAATAAGCAGTCTTGAGTTTATCTGTCTCTCCAAGAATTCAATCGAGCGCCTGTTTTATAAATTATTCGTTAACCAGCCGTATTTACGGAATATCAACTTAAGTTTTAATAGACTGAAAGATGCGAGTTTTGATTTATCTCATTTAGTATATTTAGAGATTTTAAATTTGTCAAACAATGCCATACAATTTTTGGATGACGGATCAATGAGAAACATTGACACACTTCTCGAGATAAGTAAAAGTATAAAAGTGGACTTCAGCAACAACAAGTTTCAATGTAACTGTTACAGTATCCCATGTTTAAATTGGACGTGAAGTAGTCGTCATCGTTTTATCAACTTTGATAGATACAAATGCAGGTTTGACAATGGAAGCATTTTGGAATCAAATTCATTTGAAGCAAGAGTTATTGATCTACAACAAGAGTGTTTAAACTACTTAGTATTCAATTTCAATAATTATCACATGTTCTGCAATATGTGTCTTCATAGCAATATTAGTTATAATCGCTTTAAAGAGACACAAACAGAAACTCCGTTTTATGTTATATACATTTA